TCTTCTCCTGCATCTTCTGGAGTTTATTGTCTCTCTTCTCTAGCACTTCTGTTAGCTGTGTCACTATGAATATTTTAAATTCTTTATCTGATATTTCCATAAGTTCCCTTGTATTCTCTGTGGAGGTAAAGGATTTATTCTTTTCCCTTAGCTGAGAGAGATTTTCTTGGTTTCTCATCTTTCTTGTGCCTCTGCAGTGGTGTCTGGTCATCTGAGGGGCTATACATTTTTTTCCTAGTGTTTGGATTTAAGTCTGAGCATTCAGTGGAATGCAGATGGAGGTGAACTGCAGTTTCTAAAAAGTACCACTTTTCTTCCTTTGCACAGCTCATTCAATGAAAATTGAGGATTAATCTGACTCTAAAAGTATTCAGATATTTGACTACTGAGCACCTAGACTTGTCTAGAAAAATCACTGTGTGGGCACTGAACAGAAGAGTGAGAAAGGTAAAAAGAAAAGGATAAAGAATTGGGAAAAAAAAAAAAGAAAAAAAAGAAAAAAATAATTTTTTAAAAAATTTGTGTCAAAAAGCGAAACTGCGCTAGCACGAAGGGGGCCTCTCAGAACTCAAATATAGATGGCTGCTGATTGGCTTGTCCCATCCCTATAGGGGATAGAAAGGTAGGGATTAGCAAGACAAAAGAGCGGCAGAGGGAAAGAAGTTTAAACATTTTTAAATATATGTATTAAAAACAGAGATGGAGAGAGACAGACAGAGTAGGGTGCTCCAGCCTGGCTCCTAGGTCGATCTGGGGAGCAGGAGGGTGAAGTCTGCACAGAGGGTCTCTGGTGGTTGTGGTCCCTGAATGGGGCCCAGAACTCAGGTACAGGTGGTTGCTCATTGGCTTGCCCTGGCCCCTATCTAGATCTGGGGGCAGGAGGTGAAGTCTGCGCAGAGCGTGTTCGGTGGTCATAATCCCTCTCTTAACGTTTTTTTTTTTTGATTTTGACTTATTAAAGCTTAAACTGCCTTTCTCGAAATTAGAAATATATTTGAAAATCCGAATAAATAAATAAATAAAATGTGCCTCTACCTTTAAATAATAATATAATTTTGACACTGCAAATAAGCTGACAAACCATACTGAATTTTATTATAAATTATCATTGAACTATATATTCAGGTTTTACTTTATGATGTTGCTTTCTGTAGTATGTTTCATAGAGAGAAGGAATAGAGTATGCAAACAGTTGAAGCAGTTAGCTTGAAGAAATAGTATTTTAGAAATTTTTTTAAAGATAGGAAACCTTAGTATTATATTTATGAATACCTGTTGGTGTAAAAACGTGTCACTTAAAATACATATATGATGGGGCCAACAGGTGGCACGGTAGTTAAGGGCACTGGACTCTCACATAACCAACCACAGTTCGAGACCTGGACCTGTTGGCTTGCTTTCTCACTTTCTATCTCTCTCTCTCTCTCTCGCTTTCTCCCTCTGTCCCTTTCTGGTCAAGTTAAAATAAATAAATAAAATTAAATGAAACAATTCTTTTAAAAAATGTGTATTACAGGAAAATACAATAAACCCTTTCCAGAATAGTTGCGTGGTCCCAGGACTATGAGTAGAGTGGAAGCAGTGACCCAGAAGTGCTCCTAAGGTCAGCTCTGTGGCCTGGTAGTTAAGCAGGTGGATTCTGCATGACCAGCTATGCAGCTCACATCCCAGACCCTGCAGCTTGAGAAGCACACTGGGCACTTGTGCGTGTGTGCCCAACATCTCAAAAGGAGAGAGATGGAGGAGAAAGGATTGTGGTGTGCCCATTCTTATCAGGGGGTGGTTTCTCTTCTCGCTCTCTATCCCTGTGTCTCTCTATCCCTGTGTCTCTCTATCCCTCTGTCTCCCTCTGGTAAAAACACACACCCTATTACAAAAAAAAGAAAGAAGGAAGGAAGGAAGGAGAAAAGAAAAGACTTTACAAACCTTTGTAAAGATTAGTTTTCAAGATGGAACAACAAATAATTCTGCAGAAATGGACAATATCTAGTTTTAATACTATATTTTTTTAAGGGAGAGTTTTGCTATAAGGCACATGTGCTCCTCAAACCATGGTCAACTGCATGGGAGTCCAGCAACATAACCATTACACCCTCTGCTGATCCCTAGTTTTAATGCTATTTTTGTGTCTCAACATAAACTTCAATATTTTAGATTCTTCAGATATCCAAAGATACACAATTCTGTGATATGACAGCATTTTGATCCTTAATTAATCTGTTTTCTGTCAGATTTCCTCCCTAAATTTCATTCAGAAAATAAAGTGATACATTTTTCTTTAAAAAAAAAAATTAGTTAGAACCAGCAGATGGTGTAATGGTTATGTGGCTGGACTCCCACGTGGTCAATTGCCGTTTGAGTCCTAGACTCGGCAACTTAAAATGCTGGGGTCATGTCCGTGCGTGCCCAGAACCTCAAGACGAGAATAGAGGAGAAGGGATTGTGGTGTAGCCATCCTCCTGGGAGATGATTTTTTGCTTTATTTCTCTCTGTCTCTCCAGTGAGTGCACACTCCCTATAGCAAAAATCTCTCTTAAAAAAAAAAAATCAGAGAGAAAGAGAGAGGTACAGTATCCCCAAAGGGTCTTGATGCCACTCTCTATCCTTCAGCCTGTCATCCAGGATCATGGGCACACATGCCCAGCAAACTCAGGGAGGTCACTGGGCTTGAACCAGCAACTTTCTCACATGGGTCTACCTTGCAGACCCTTGCGTTTTACAACTACATCATTACGCAGCCCCGAGATGTGCTTTATTTTAATAGGATATTTATATTCTATAATATTTGTGGAAGAATTAAGTACTTAAAAGATTGTTGGAGTGTATATATTAATAGTTTTCTTAGGGCCTGTAATTATTAAATGAGAGCACAATGAAACATATAAAAGATCCATAGGGATGGAAAATATCCCATAAGAGACTGTTGAGGAGGTTTTCTCATTCTTTATTTCATTGTGAGTCACATTTTTGTTGTGTTTTTCTTTGAAGAGTATAATTGCATTTTTAAGGATCAGCTATTTGTTCTTCAAAAATAGTGTTGACTCTGACTCTGAAATGGGTAAATTAGAAGTCTTTACAAAGGAAAGCATAGCTCGGATAGATTAGGGAACTACTTGAAATACTGTTTCCACTTTTTTTTCCATGTGTAGTAAAGATTTTTTTTTAACTATATGTTCTGATGAGAAGGCGGTAAGTAAGAATAAGTAAAAGCTGTTATTTAAGTAATGATCATGCTTTGTGAAAATCTAGTAAAACCAAAATCTGAGCAAAGGCTGACATTAGGAGATAATATCACCGGTCCCAGTAGCCGGGTTCAGACTTCTGAATATGCAAACGGAAGTGATGGGATGGTAGAGGCTGGGGTGACTCCAGGAGATACTGAAAACTTTATCTTGGCTATCCAGTTAAAGACAGTCTTCACTTAAAATACCTTCATTTGGGGGGCTTTCTTAAAAAATCTAGATCCCACATGGCCAACCATGTGATTGGAGACTCAGACGGGGCAGCTTGAAAAACATGTCGGAAGCATGTGCCTGCATGCCCAAAACCCTGAAAGAAGGGAAGAATGGAGAAGGGATTGCAGCGTGACCATGCCCCATTCGAGAGATGCTCTCGCCCTCTCTCTGTCACTAGCACTGGCGCGTGCCCTCTGGCACATGAGAAAACCTAAAACAAAGCCCTGCGTTTTGGGAAATGGAATGCCACATGGAGCAGAGACTGCTGCTGCATTAACCTTTCCATGAGCTCAGATACAGGCTCTTAGGAACCAGGGCATTCTGATGTTTGGGGGCCAGCTGCACGTGGTGTCCACATTGTCCCTTTCCTTGTGCCCTCACTGAGATCACGTAACCCACGCCAGGAAGGGGGAGGGGTCTCCTTCTGCTCCCCAGTGTCTTACATACATTACCAGCACCCCAGGCTGGTAAGAAGAAAGGAAAAGTTTAGGCCTTAAATGTTGCTAGTTATCCTCAGAACCAGGTTTAGAATCAAAACTCACTCCAGACCAGTGCTCTTTCTATCCTGTCATGCTGCCTTTATCCCAGTGTTTTTCTTTTATAAAATTTTTGCTATAGGGTGCTCACCAGAAAGGCAGAAAGAGAGAGACAGAAAGTGAGAAATCACCCCCCAGGGGGGATGGCCAAGCCGCAATCCCTTCTCCTCCATTCTCCTCTCGGGATCTTGGACACGCACGCACACGCGCCCAGTGTGAGTTTAAGCCACCGGGTCTGGGACTAGAACCGCGGTTGACTACATGGGAGTCCAGCAACATAGCCATTACGCTAACTGCTGGTCCCCCCAGTGTTTTTCAAACAGTAGAATCCATTTATAAAATAAATTCTTACCTAGAAACCTGGTATATCTAAAAGGTATAAGCAGAGCTGTTCTGTTTGAAGCCAGTCCGTGGTAAGCCTTCTCTTTGCCCCTCTTTTTCTTTTCCCACCGGGTATCTCTAAAGAAACCTCTACCTTCACAGAGGATAGTTTTCAGTACGCATAGCACAGCATAGCTTTAAGATTTCTATGTTCTGCACTGAGTATTGTTGTATAAACCATGGGGGGTTTTGGTGGTTGGTTTGGGTGAGCCCCTTCATCCCATGGTGCAGCAGACAACGCCTCAGGAAGTGTAGTGAGCATTCCATTTCACGCTTTGAGTTCTCCAAGGCAGGCTGGAAGGCATCTCACAGCTGGAGAGGGAGTTTGAGGAGCAGATACCTCTTTTCTAACTCACCTGCCTTGCTCCTCACGCCTGTGTGAAATGGATTTGATAAAAGGTGTATGCATGGACCAGAATGTTTTCTCAGCTCATTTTCAAAGCTGCCGAACGCTTGCCTGGAGTAACATGCCTCAGTGCGTGGCCCGCTGACTCGCTGCTTGGGAAACGCACCGCAGCACTCCTCCTGCCCCGCCCTCACGTTGGTTTCTTGAACTTAGAGATAATCGTGCATTGCTGTGCAGTTTTCTGCTGCTCATTTTTAAGTTGAAATCTCATTTTTGTTTCAGATTCTCCTTCTTCTGTGGTTAACAAACAGCTCGGATCCATGTCACTTGACGAGCAACAGGGTGCGTGAACAGGAGATGCGCTATGCCTCCATCCGTAGTTTACCGCGATGCATTCAGAGCGCTCGCTTTCTCACAGCATCTCATTGCGATGGTCTCAGAGTCAGTACTTGGTAGAGCGAACGGCCCTAGGTGTGGTGTGCGCAAAGGGCCTGCCTGCTCTGTATGAACTGTTTTCTGTGTGTGCTAGTTTATGCCTTTGGCCCTTTATGTCATCTTTGGGTTCTCTGCCTGGAACCTTATTGTAATAGACATAAACGATAATCCATTTTTAAAATTCTAGGTATTTATCAGAAAGTGTTATAGGACTGTGGGCATCAAGGTAGCATATTGCCTCATTGCTCATTTAGAAGAACTTACTGGAATATAGCAATGGTCTATACTATTCAATTGCTGTAGTAGTGACCCTTGGGTCTATGTCTCATTTACATGGTAGTCGAGCTCCTGGTAGCTTTTAATTATGAGGAATATAGTTGTATTTTCGTGTCCTAGAGATGGACACGAAAGCCACCAGTCAGAAGGGAAAATAGCTTTCATTTGCACTTTCCGAAGGAGGAAGGATGTGGAATGAGCCCAGAAGCTCGGAGTAGAGCCTGCTGAGATTAAACTGGTTACTTACTGATGAGTGTGTGATATGACAGCATTTTGATCCTTCATTAATCTGTTTTCTGTCAGACTTCCTCCCTAAATTTCATTCAGAAGATAAAGTGATACAATTTCTTAAAAAAAAAAAAAATAGTTAGAACCAGCAGATGGTGTCACGGTTCTGTTGCTGGACTCTCACGTGGTCAATTACAGTTTGAGTCCTAGACTCAGCAACTTAAAACGCTGGGGTCAAGTGCGTGCGTGCCCTTGATAAAGTTTTTTTTACTAGCAGGTGAAATACAACATGTAGAAGGACTTGTAGCAGAAGACATCCTGTTAAGAAGGAGCACCAGTGGGGCCAGTAGTCGATGTAGTGGTTAAGGTGCTGTAATCCCATTTGGTCGATTGCAGTTCGAGTCCCAGACCTGGCATTTTGAAAATCACATGCCAGGTGCATGTACACGCATGCCCAGTGTGCCCAAAATCTCAGGAGAAGAATGGAGGAGAAGGGGTCGTGGAGTGGCCATCCCTCTGGGTGGGGGTGATTCCTCACTTCCCACTGTCACTCTCTGATGAGCATATGCACCCTATGGCAAAAACCTAATTTAAAAAAAAAAAAATTAGCACAGATGGTTTATAATCTCACCTTAGAATTCCCTGAGATGTTCTCATTGTGTTTTGACAGAAGTTTAGTAATTTTAAGTCAAGAACACCTTAAAATGATACTCTTCTCTATTTAAAAAGGCAGTTGATTGCCTAAAAAGATTTTACATATATTTCTTTCAAAAATAATTTTTTTTAAAAGTTAGCACTAAAACCAAAAATTTGGTTGGCTCAGTGTTTCCCTGTATAAGATGACTCATTCGTCAGCAGTAGTGGAGAAATCCAGTATTACTGTACTATGTGTTTGGTGTGAAATGTATCTGGTTTTTAACTGTCCTTTTAGAGAAATACACTATATTTTTTTAAATATTTATTTATTTAATTAATTCCATTTGTTGCTAATTATTTTTAAATTTTGACCAGAGAGGGGTAAGGAGAGAGAGAAAGGGAAAGTGAGAAAGCAAACCTCCAGTTCCGGAACTTGAACCGTGGTTGGCCATGTGGGAATCCAGTGCTCTTAACCACCACGCCCCCTGCTGGCCCCTCAAACTATATTTTAAAACAAATATGCAGAAACTTAGAAGCAAAAGTTGTTTTTAAAATGAAGAAGTTTCTTTTAAAACAAAGAAAATTTCTTTGGTACTTCTGGTCTTAAACGATTCTTTGCAAACCTCAGATGACAACTGTTTTCTGTTCTCAAGGGAGGAAAAAAGGGTTGGTAAGTGAATTTGAGAATCAAGAAATTAGGCATGTTTTATCTGTATGTATTTATTGTAGAGGTATTAACTCTGAAGAAAACTTATGTCGAAGTAAAACACAATTAGAGCATCATATTATAGTAAATCGGACCACTGTTTACTCTCCAATCAAATCATCTTCATTTGCAGGAATGTATTAATGTAAACAGTGTATCACCACCAGAGAGTCTGTAGTCAGGTTCATATTGTATATGATTGCTAGAACAGTTTCCATAGGGTCATACTCACTGTCGTATTTAATGCAAGCTGGTACACACTGATCATTTATACCTGATAGGGGTGGGAACGGAAGAGAAGAGTCGAGGCTAACCCAGACTCTCACACTGGTGCCCAGGGTCAATGGCCGTTCACTGAGGTTAACGAGGTTAGAGACGGAAAGCAAGAGGTTTGTTTTTGATTTTTGGAGAGGTTCGCGTGTTAGTTTGTTGCTTTTTTCCATGCAAAGCCTGGGTACCTTTTCCTCACATCTTGGAGATGTGGGAAGAGAGGTCAGGCGTGGTGTGGGTTTGGCAGAAACTACACCATATAGGCCATCATGCTGTAGCTCTGTGGTAAGATCTCTGAGCACAAGTGTTCTCATGGTGTGAGATACATTCCCATTAGTTAGATCCCGAGTCTCACATGCCTTTCTGTTTAGCAGCTTATGTCTTTTAAAGTACCGGGCACTCCACGTGCCAGGCTCACAGTGCCTAGTTTCTGCTACACATGTCAGGAGAGGCTGCCACTACCTGGTCTCTCCCGGACTGATGCAGTGAGCTCACAGCCACTCAGGCTGGAGGCCTTTCCACCAGCAGCCAGAGCGAGGCTTTTACAAATGGAAATATAAACATTCCTCTGCCTAAAATATCTTAATTGCTTCCCTTAGCTATTCAGAGCAGCTCAAAGCAACTCATACCTTGGCACATAGGCCCAGTGTGCCTTGGCCTGGCCCCTCTAACCTCACCGCACCCACTCTCCCCCACTGTCCAACCTCTTGGTGAACAGGCGCCTTCAACTCTCCTAACACTCTGACCTTCTCCTGTTCACAGCCTCCATCCATGTGCTCCCCCGTCCAAAAATGACTTCCCACTACACAGCTTCCACTCTTCAGATTTCACTTAGATAACACTTCCCTCTAAGCGTACAACCTCCCAGTCTGTCCTGGTTCCCTCCTCTTTCTTTGTGACTAATTTGCCTTCTTTGCATTAGTCAGATTTTTAATAATTTTTTAGGAGATTTTTATCTAATATTTGCCTTTATCCATATTTACTAAATGCTTTTATTCACTGTAATATACTCAGTGCTTAAAATAATGATCAGTTGCATAGTAAACAATTTTGCTGAATGAGTAGGCAAGTTAATTATTTAAGAAGTGAGGAACTATAGAAATCATGTCAGGGCCAGCAGGTGGCATGGTGGTTAAGGTGCTGGACTCCCACGTGGCCAACCATGGTTTGAGTCCTGAACCTGGGGGCTGCTTTCTCACCTTCCCTCCTTCCCTGTCTGTCTGTCCCTCTCTGGTAAGCATACATACCCTATAGCAAAATTTAAAATAAGAGTAATAAATAAAAATTAAATAAATCTTTATAAAAGTTATTTCAGCTTAGAGAAACATGATCAGCTTTACATGTGGGAAAGGTCATTTCAGCAGCATTATAGAAGATTTGATCGGAAGGGAGTGTGATTCAAAACAGCAGGAGCATATAAAAGTCATTATTTGTTAATTTTTTTCTTTTAGAGACAGGGTCTTGCTGTGTTCCCCAGTCTACCTTCAAATCTACAGTCTTCCTGCTTTAGCCTCCCAAATAACCCGGCTGAGAGTGGGCAGATTCTTAAAATATTTTTGAGGCAGTATTAACGAGCCTTGGAGACCATTTAGTTAGAGGTGAATGAGAGAATGATATTTAGGTGATAAAGCATGAGCCATCAGCCAAGACAGATTTCAGAAAGAACAGTTGACTATGGGAGAGAAGGAATGTGAGGGTATTTGGGGTTTTGGTTTCTGGTTTTATATTGAGTTTGAAGTCTTTTTGGAGTAATCTAATAAACACTTAGATAGCTCTATGTTTCTCGAAGTCACCAGAGAGGTCTAAGGTGGAGATAAAGATTAGGAGTCATCCTTTTATTTATTTATTTAACTTTATTTAAATTTGACCAGAGAGAGACAGAGTGAAAGAGAGAAAGAGTAAGTGAGAAAGCAAGCTGCCAGATCTCGGACTCCCTGCAGTTGGCATGTGGGAATCCATTGTCCCTTACCACCACGCCACCTGCTGGCCCCAGGAATCATCCATTTTTTTGTAAAAGCTTGTTGTCATAGGATGCATGTGCTTGCCAGAGAGAGGCAGAGAGACAGAGAAATGAGAAATCACACCCAGGGGGGATGGCCTCCCTGCAATCCTTTCTTCTCTGTTCTCCTCTTGAGATTTTGGGTGGGCATGAATGCACATAGGCTCAGTGTTTTTTTCAGGCCGCCGGGTCTGGGACTCTAACTGCGGAGTTGGCCATTTGGGATCCAGCGTCTCAACCACCATGCCACCAGCTGGCCCAGAAATCATCAGTTTATAGATAGCGGTTGAAAGTGTGAGAGTGGGTGAGATTTTTTAGGGGAAGAAGATAGAGTACAAAGAGGAGAGTTTGCACCACAAAAAGCAAGCAAAGAAAAGAATCCTGCTGAGGAGTCTGAGAGGAGGCAGGTGGAGCAGAGAGCCAGGCCCAGAGCTGTGTGAGCGACGCCAGGCACCAGAAGGGCCGAGGACCAGCGTTTCGGTTTGGCAGACCACGTGGGTCATGGGCTGTTGTGACATCACGGTTTGACTGAAGTAGAGGCAAGAGCAGATAGCAGTGACTTGAGGAAGATTGGGGGGGGGGAGCAGAAGACAATGATGGGAAATGCTGTTGTATAACTCTTTCCATAGCTCAATTATGAATGAAAGAGAAAAGGTGGTATCGTAGGGTGGCTGTACTTTCAAATTGAGTTTGTTTGTAGAATAGAGCAAGAGTATTTGTTAACAATGTAGGGTATAGTTCCCGTCTCCAGAAACACTGTAGTTGGGTCATTGGAAACATGATGAAACACTT